ATATCAAATGATTACACTGCATCACACTAAAAGTATAGAATTTTATTATGTAGTAATTTTCTCTTACAACATAGCATTTGACTAACTAGAATGTAATTGCCAAATTTTAAACACAGTAAAACACACAGAATATGACATACCATAAAACTCAGAAAATAAACACCTATAGTAAATAAGTGCCCACATTTATGTTCTATAAATAAGTGCCATCAAATAAATTTTAAATTACATTATCCACTGATCACAAGATTGATCAATCGTAAAGTCAACATGGGGCGTTGTCAATCGAAATGTAGCTTAGTGAGATTGATCATTTTCTGAAAATTGTTACACACAGTGATGAAAATTATAATTTTTTATTACTGTGTGTAACAATTTTCAGAAAATGATCAATCTTACTAAGCTACGTTTTGATTGACGATGCCCCACATGTTGTCTGTCTTCAAATAACTAGTGAATAAGCATCTTAAAAAAGTGGCAGCTATTTTTAGAGTTTTACGGTATGTATCTAAAGTACTATCATTCGGCTTTGATTACTCCAAAAGCTTTCCGGTCTTGCTCTTTTTAAACAATAAATATGAACAAATTATTGTTAGAATGTCTATAGATAAACCTATTAATAAAGCATTTCACTTATTAATGAAACTTGAAAGATACTTATCTTAATTGGTGTTACAATTTAAAATCATAATGCATAACATTAGTTCTCACAATAGTTCCTAATATAATTATTACTTCCCAATAAAGTTAGTCCTCGTACAATCATTGTTTCCCGATTAGTTTTTCGGGTACAGCAATAGTGAATCTATGCAAAAATTCTGCTTCTATCCTGTGAAAAGAACAATAAATGATAGTTAGATAATGCCTATTATGCAGGATTGGCAATTTTGTTATTTCTTGAGAAAAAGTCAATAAGAGCTCAATAGATAAGTATCTATTGAACACTTTGTGGGTTCGCCCATGTAAATTTTTTTTAAATAACATATGAAAATAACAAAAAAGTATAATCATATGGCAGATATAATGGAGCGTTGTTACAATTGATTAGATGTTTAGATAAAGTCCTGTAGTTAAATTATTGTTTTGATTTTTAATAAAGAATAAATATCAAGTTTTTGCCCAAATAAATTTTTTTGAATAAAATCTTATATACAGTACCTGTTGTACTCGTAAAATATAAACCGTAACATGTTTTCTAATAAACGAAAAGAAAAAACTACTCTTAGCAATCAACAAAGAAAAGAAATTATTGCATTTAAAGAAAAAATCTAAACATCAGTCATGTTGACCTCATCGAATTGGTGAAAAAAAATATGAATCTTGATGTTCATCCCTCTACTATTGGGCGTTTAATAAAAAATAAAGACAACATTGGAGACAATCTATCTGCAAAAAGGCAGAAGACTGTACAGTATCCAAATCTTGATAATTCCTTACTTGAATGGATCCTTCAAGACCGAATCATATTAAGTAATGCTATTCTAATTGAAAA